AACTAGTATTATAAATTATATTGTATCTAACTAGTATTATAAATTATATTGTATCTAACTAGTATTATAAATTATATTGTATCTAACTAGTATTAGAAAATATATTGTATCTAACTAGTATTAGAATTATATTGTACCTAACTAGTATTATAAATTATATTATATCTAACTAGTATTAGAATTATATTGTATTTAACTAGTATTAGAATTGTATTGTATCTAACTAGTAGTATAAATTATATTGTATCTAACTAGTATTAGAAATTATATTCTATGCAACTAGTATTAGAAATTATTGCTACAAGGTAATGAGAAGTTAACCAAGCTTACATTGAACAACAGGATTTTAAAAACATATATATGTTACTATGAAAAGCAATATTGCATGAAAAATCAGATGTAATATAATACACTAGTGTAGAAGTGTTCGAGGACGTTGGAGTGTTGCAATTATGGTTTTTATTATAATTACTTAATCAATAGATTTTCATACTAGTATGATTACCTCGAATATATAACTCTATTAACATTTTATTTGGTTGTATTACTCGCTTTTGTAACGTAAGTAGCAGCATTAAACACCTAAACACCAAACCAAAAACTTATGTTACAGAGAACCTTTAAAAGTTCACATTTTACTACAGAAATAGTGTTACGAAGTGCCCAGAACTCTATATAAACGTGCAATTATTTAGTATAAGAGCTTTTGTTTGGGTAACTAGTATAATTACACGATATCAGATATATATATTTAGATTTAATGAAGCAATTAATAGATTTTCTTCATTTTAAGTTATAAGTAATCAGTTGGGTGCTTTACTTCAAATGCGTTAAATGTTTTCTTATACTTTTCATAATTATTCTAAGAACCCACAAGTGGAAGCAAAGAAGAATATCTTATAATGTGTCAATCACATTGCATCTACTATATCTATTGCCACTTTCTCCCAATATCAGGGCAAATCATGGCCGTCTGAGATAATAGTGGTGTAGGCGCTATACATATTACCAATTTCCTTGAACAGAAACTATTAAGCCTTGATTCAGATTAAGCAGTGAACTGTAATTATTATAAATTTTTACCCAACATTTTATTACACCTTATTTTATGCATATTTTCAAAGTTTCTTTCCACAAAAGACACTGCCATAAAGTACATTTGTTCTATAGTATTGTAAATATTCCTAAAGAAGAGTCCACGAATTTTTTTAAATCAAGTGTAATTGAAATTTCATTTTCTCTCTATATTTATATATGTATTTATTCATTATAATTAGAACAACAACAATTGTCCAATTGCAAAAGTTAGATAAATAAAGCGTTGGCTTTAAGTAATTGTTAAATAAACCTATGCCTATCTTATAAATGACATCAATATACTAGATTATCTTATATTGCTGTAAACGTTTTATTTATTTTTAATTTCGTTTGCTACTATGGAAATGTTACTTCTTAGTTGCTTCTTTTATTTTTAGAAAACTAGTTATCTTCAAGTTAAAATTTTTAGAGGAAATGTTTACATCTTTTTTTGCTTTGTTTCGTCTTTTTAAAGCACCTTTTTAGTATTTTTGTCGAAACCTTAAAAGAAGTTTCACCGAAAACTATTTTTAAATTTTTTTTAGAATCGTTATATTCTCATAACTCACGAGTCTTTTGCAAGCATTATTGTAAACGTTATTTTTAGCCTTCTTTAACCATTTAACTAAATAAACAGCATTATACTTATTAAAGGGTGATATAAATACAAATTTTGCTTCAGACAAAATCTCACCAGTATAAATGTTTAATGAGACTGTTCCTTATTCTCCAGATTTTGTTATAGTGTTTACAGGAATATTTATATCTGTAAAGTTTTATGAATTAATGTTATCTGCTGTTGAAAAATAAAAAAGAGGATCCATTTATTCCTTTTATCTTGTTAGAACTATGTGGAAAGAAGAAGCAAAAAAGGTTGATAAATTTTTCTAATACAGTTTTTTTCTTTAGATTCGAATAATTTACGCTACATTTTCTCAATTGCTTTGTAAAATTACAAAAGTACAGATATTTTATGAAACTTTTTGAGATCAGTACTGATTACGTGTGTGGTTTTTATAGACTTGAAAAAAAATTTTAAAACTTGAAAACTAACCTTATATTTTTTCATATTTTCATAGAACACACAAAAAAGTACAAGTCTTCGTTGTTCGACTGTGTTCTTGTTAAAAACCAGCATCTTATCTAATATTCCCTTTTCTAGTAATTGTTAAATCGGCTCATAATGATAAATAGAATTTCCCCTCTTGTTCCTTTCATCCTTACAACACTGTATGTGCAAAACTACGCTGAAGAGTTTCGGTGTGATTCCTCTATCCCACTTGTAGCCAAAGTGGCCTTTCAAACTAGAGGAAAAACTGGGTTAATCTTAGAAGGAACCACTGCCCGAATACCTCTTACCCTTGGACAAACAGCATGTTTCACGTTGTCCACTCGTAATTCATCCGATCATTCTGATTTACTACAATTTCAAAAAAGAATATTGTATGCTTTTCGCTTAGAAGAAGTAAGAAATGAATATCCTGTACAAAATACTTACAGTTTTAATCAGGCAGATCTGGAAGTATCTTGTTTATGTGACTGTCCAGGAGGAGTTGACAGATGTGCCCCAAAATATGAGAACACTGATTGTGATAACTCAGAGGATTCAGCTGCTTGTTACAAGATTTATCAACGAACCGCTTCCATTGGTTGTTTTTTCAGCCTATTTGACTCGACTGCTGAAATATGCTGTAAAGTTTGGATAAGACCTCAGGTGAAAAATGGAATGTATATAGCCCTCTTACTTGGCGCACCGAGCACTAAATTACGGGTAAAAAAAATGGCGATAGATGAGAACGGAGAACCAGTGGGACCACCAGATGTACTTGAAACTGACAGTAAAGAAGGTCGATTTTCATCAGATACCTTTGAAATAGAAATCACAAGTGCTGTTCAAAAAGAATTTTTAAAACCTGGTATGTACTTTGTAAACTCAGCAGGAGATCTGTTTCAACCCACCCACGTTTCTTTGAACTATCCTGGCACTTACGAAATGGAGAGGTTGGGTTGGCTTAAATATCAGAATAAATGGTACACTCCTGCCAAAAGTACGATAAAGTCAAAACTGGAAATAAGGACTCAGAGTTGTGCTGGAGAAACTTTCAAGATGATTCATTCCTACATCACAGATAAGCCAGAGGACGTGTCGTCTCGAGTAATAGACTTATACTCGGGTAAAATCCAGAGGATGTTCTACAACAGAGATGAGCGACGTGTAGAGGAGATATTATCAGCTATACATCGTATTGACTTTATCATTCATATCCAGGAGGAAGTCGACATCATGTTTCATTATCAACCCTCTACCTTGCACGATTTTGATGCTGAAATTTTGCTGGACAAGTACTCAAATGAATTCTTGAACATCACACTGAAAGGAATTTCTGGTAATAATTTCATACAATCGTAATAAAGAATAATTTACGATTCATTTAGTTTAATTTATAATTTGATACATATTTATGTTTTAGAGTTGTTTAACAAGTGTTACATAGAGGTGGAGCTGTTTGGTATTTAGGTTTTTAAAAGTAAGTATTTTAATTAAATCGTCAGAAATATAAAAATGTCTGTAAAAATGGAAAAGTCTCTTTCGAAGTTAAACTAGAACAAATCAGATACTCTCTCTTCTATTGCTTTTTATTTATGATGTAAATAGATATCCACATTTTATTTACTTTCTTTTTTCTGTTAAAGGTACGGTACTTGGATGGGTAAGACATGAAGATAAAAAGTTTGCTTTCTCGATCATTAGTAAATCTTTGGAACCAACAACGACTACAATTTACAAACCAACAAGTTTTTGCATAAACAACACACAAACTTGTCTTCGACCAATATCCACAAAGCATCTTATTTGTAAAATTATTTCCTGTAGGAAAGAACCACTAGAGGGAGTAATTAGAGAAGATGGAACATTATTAGAAGTCGGAGGATTAGAAGAAGAGCCTTGGAATGAAAAGGTTTTCAGTGTTCTGTGGGATTTTTTAAATCCAAAGAAGTGGTTCGAAAGTTGGACTGGATTGGCCGCGATTGTGATATATATCATTATAGCAATATTTCTTCTAATGGTTGCATCTCAAATACTTATTTGTGTTAGTTCTGTGGCGAAGCTGAGAGGAGATTGTGTTAGACCGGTACAGTCGCCTATTAGTCATATTAGTCATACAAAACCGTGTAATTGTGGTCAAAACCAAATTCAACGTGACAGTTTGATAAAATGAACATGTTTTATTCAGTTTAACGAGTAAATAATATTTTCTTTTGAATTATTAGATACCTAGAGCTATCGAAGTTCCGAAGTTTGATTAATACATAAAAAAATTGAGTAGATGTTCCCAACTAAATATGTAGACTAGACAAGTTTAGTTCATCATAATTTTCCATAAGTTTATAAATGAATCAAATCATCTATGGAAAAAATGTTATCGTCAAAAATCAATTTAGTTTTGATCAAATAACTTTGCATACACTTAATAAGCTTAGCTTTCTTAATGACAATCATTGTCTGAAAAACTAAACAAAGTAATGCTGACATTATAATTTCAACTAATAATAGATAAAAGTCACTGTAAGATAAATTACAGATCAGAGTAAAAGATACTGTAAATAACAATGTTCAAACAATAATGACTATTTCTATTATTATATAAAGTAGAAATAAGGGTAAAATTGGGTTCGTTTTTGTGGTCGATCATTGGCTAAGGAGATGTTTTTGTGGTCGGTCATTGGCTAAGGAGATGTTTTAAAAATCAAGGCATTATGTATTTGATATGATATTTCATGGATATCGGTCTGAATGTTTCTGGTCAAACGTTTTACTGAATGACAAACATACTTTCTGTCAACTATATAAAACGTTCTGATCTCCTTTTTTCAATCCTAATACAACTTTAATTACCTATTTCTAACATCTTATATGCTCTGTCTGATAGTTTTTATTTTTAAGGGGGAGCTGTACTTTCAGATCTTCGACGAAGAAGATTGTATTTAAGATCCTAACAATCCCACTTTCTTTAACTGAGGATGTTCTCGACTCTTAAGCTCAACTTTTTAGCGTTGTATAAAATTACAATAGATTTTTGGTGTTCCTCAAGAGATTTGAAACATTTGGTTGCTCTGATATAAAATATATCGTTCTTTATTGTTAAAACATACATAAATAGACATTCTCTAGAGGGTTAATATTCCAATAATTCCCAGCCTACTGTTGAAACTTTTCCCTTTGTGACGTGTATGAGGACTGTTGAAAACTGCTTTTATTTTCACAGGACTGCTTTTAACACACAGTTTGACCACGAGCATGTAAAGCATTGCCTAAACCATATTATTTTATTTAGAAAGGACCAAGTTTCAACCATCATAAGAAGAATTTCACCTATCTCTAACCAAAAAATATTCTAAGACTTTGTAATATTTTTTATTTTCTGTTTTTGAAAGATGGTATGAACTTTGTACTTTTTTATTTTAGCTGCAGATGCTTTTTGATGAATTCTTATAGTTGAAGTAACTGTGTGTTTCCATCATCTCACTGATCGTGAAAATCTTCCTGCAGAAAACATGTCAGTTTTGTTGACACCACCTGCAGGTCCGTACAAACACAGTAGGACTTTTTCGGTATATTCAGATCTTCGTGTAATACCACTCTTAGATATTTACATTCTCGTGTAATTCAAGATAAATCAATCTTGAAAAAGTTTACTCCCACCCACTATATATTTAATTTCAAACTCTTAGAGTTAAATTGGGCACTATTTGAACAAAGGGACCTTCCTTTCTGGGTAGTTACTGAAAAGACAATTAAAGTCACACAGAATTCTTGGATAAATCAAAAATTGCTACAAAAAAGAAATAAAAAAAATCATGTTTATTCAAAAATCTCATCGTACGCATTGAACAAATGATATTCATTGCTCCCTTCTTTCAGTGACGACGAAATAGAACACTGCTCGTCAGAGACACCTATGTTTAAGATATAACAAAAGGCTTTTATATTTTCAAGTAACTTTAAATTAATATCAACCATTATTTTAATAAGTAATATTTTGGTTTAAAGTACAGTATTAAACAAGTTATTCATGAATCGATTGTAAACCACATTTGTTTCATTGTTCTCGCACGTGAAAGGTTCAAATAATTTTATGAATCGTATATTCGTAGTCATATATATCACATGAACTAGGTGTTCGTTAAAACATTGCATTTTTTTTTAACAAACTGTGCCGCTAACAGTAATGCATAATGTTTCACTTGCATTCACAATTCCTGTAAAACAGCAATCTGTTACTTGGTGAAGTACAAAGGTAAACGATTCAGTTTATAAACCGAGAATAACTGTTACATGTAAAGATCGTGATGATGTGTATGTTTGAGTCAATATTTTATGGAATTGCATTAATATTTCAATAATCTATAAAAAGATGCCAGGTCATTTATTTGTTAATTATTCAATGACTATACATGACATTCAGTTATGAATTATTATTATTAACTTAGACCTCGAGATATTCTGTATATAAAACAAAACAAATAATTGTTGATTGCATATATGCTTAAGTAACCTGAGAGCTTAACGAAATGTTAATGTTCATAGCTTCACAAAGTTTCTGTGGTTGACACATATGTGTATGATATATTGATTATATGTGTGACTCGGCGGTTAAAGTGCCTTTCAACATTCATACTTACAAGGTAAACGTGTTATATTCACTTTTGTTTAACGCAAATCAGATACTTGATAATAACTATTTGCTGCAAGTAGTCAAAATCCCTAAAGCTTATCACTGAAAGTGGCTACGTTCTTCAATGTGTAGTTGCCAAATATAATTAGGTTACACATGACATGATTAGTTTCCCTGCTGGCAGTTGCTGTTACCAATTTAATAAGGCAATAGTTTGTTTGTTTGTTTTGAATTTCGCGCAAAGCTACACGAGGGCTATCATCGCTATCCTTC